GGTGTTAAGGTATTTTGACACCCAGGAGGCCTGTTGTAGAGCCAAATATATTTCACTGACCGCAGCGCTTTTTGGAAGCTCAAGATAAAGGATCTCTTTAGACTTTTGCTGTTTAACTGCTTCTCTCTGAACCCCAAGATGCATGGTCCAATCACCTGTCAGTAGTTGAAAACACCTTTCAGGTAGCGCAAAACCATGCTTCTCCTTGGGATTTGCTTGTCCTCTAGGCAACATGGACCCATAACATTCCGTGTCAACACGAATGGTAGCAGGCCAACTCAACCGACCAAGCGTCGACCGAAACCTAGCAGCAGCCGCGCTGCTCAAGTCAACCTCCAACTTCGTGTCTTCATTGTAGTAGAGGTCGCAGAAGTTCGGGGGAATGCAAGTTCCTTGAGTATTTGTCGGCAAGCCAAAGCCGTCAACAATCTTCTGGCAGTTCTCATGTCATGTGACGCACCGAAGGTCAGGTCCTGGTTGTTTCCCAAGAAAGATGATCGCGCCATCTGTATCAAGACCGGACCGGCAGTCAACTCCAGCTTCGCTGCAGACCTGAGCAATCAACGACATGGTAGATAGCCTCGTGGCGTTCTCGAGTCGCCAAGTTGGTTCAATATATCGTGGGCGTAGCGCAAAACAGCCACTCTTTGTCCGTCGAGGACTTCTCCAACGAAAAGACAGGGCTCAGTCTCGCAGGTTCCACTTGCAAAGCTTCTGAAGCAATTCTGCAAGATACCGGGCCCAGACCTTGGTGGCGACCCTCAGGCCATATACAGTGCTTTCTTCAGGCGTGTGTGCTGTCTGCCAGTCTGCCGTTTCGGCTAAATTTTGGACTCTGTCTGGAAGGCGGGCAGCTATCCTCTCATCCTCGTCAAGTTCTGCGAACAAGAAAGCTGTCGAGGTGTCCATTTGTTTGTCGTTTGGATCTGGCCAAACACAACATTCGGAGCGCTTCTGCGCTGCTGGTAGGCGAGCTGATTCCGAGCTGCGCTGCGCTGACGCTTTGTGCGAAATCTCTTGCCACCGCCCTGCGTCGGATGAATGCTCCATGTCGGACTTCCCATATCACGTCTCCAACAGCAAGATACTCTAAGGCCTTCAGTTCCCGCAACGTCCCTTCAGAGGTCATCTCTATGTTTAGACGAGCGCCGGTAACATCATGCTCGTCGTGGGAAGGGGTCTCAACAACCAGCTTCTCCCCACAAACAACCATTTCTTCAACTCCAATTTCATGACCAACTGCAGTATTCAGCGACTCCCGGCGCTCGATTTTCACAACCATTTGGTCAGCTTCTCTAGGAGGTACATGGTCAAACAACCCACGTCCATGAACTCATTTTCAAAATCAAGTTCAGGTTTTGGTTGCTTGCCTGGACGCCGCAGCTGCGTCCTAATGTTGATTTCGGCCGGTGTCTGTCAGCTTCGCGTCTCAATCCTGGGCATGCGTAGCGAGTCTGACAAGTACTCTGGCAAGTGTTATCTTGGGTATGCTAAGCATGTCCAGTTGCATTTTACACGTTTACCTTTGCTTTCGCTTTTCGCCAAAAGAATAATTGTCTGACCGCGGTGCTGTGTATGCGTGCTTGTGTAGTGCCCCTCAGCTTGATGATGACTGAGTGCGAAGGATTAAGATTTTTTTGTGTTTACTCAAATATGTTTTAGATATTGTGCTCTTAACCTTTATTGTTTCCCTATCCACTGCCGATTCAAGCTGTAGTAACATAGCTTGGCACGTTATGTAGCGTTGCGTTGTGTATGCATACTGCGGGTCTTTCGCTTAGCTTCTTCACCCTGCCCTCCCACCCGTCCCACCCTGTGTGGTTTGGCATCCGCGGGACCCTTTTGCCTTTCCCTCCGTGGGACTCCGAGATTCTAGTTGGAGCTGTGCATTTGCTGGTTTTTCTCCGCGTATTCAGCTGCATGTTGGATGCTTACCCCTGTCTTCGCTTGCCACCAAAAGAGTAGTTGTCTGGCCGCGGTGCTGCTCATGCGTATTTCTGTAGTGTTCCTCAGCTCGGTACAAAGGATTTGAACTAGGCCACTAGGCTGATGGGCTGACGCGACCGGGCTTCAAAGGTTTGCACTTTGTTGGGGCTGATTTCCGTGGGACTGTCATCACGCGTGGAGATATATCCATGTAGCAGGTGCTTTTTCAATTGTTCGGCCCATGGACCAGTCCAGTCCGGGGTGCCCTATGGAGAGGTGATGGTCTTCGAATTTTGCTGGTCTGCTTTCTACCTGGCGTCTCTTGAGCTTTGATCGTCATCACTCCAGCCAGTTTAGTATGTTCGGAATGTTCAGCAGCTTTGAGTGATGGGGGGAGATTTGGCCACAGGATTGTGCAAAACAGTTGCTGCTACTTTCATGTTGATCTTTGTTGGCATTAGTCCCAGGAAGCTGCATTTTTGCAAGATGCAGTAAGTTGCGTACGCTATACTCCCGAAAACCATCTCCTGATGGAGAAGTTGCATGCTGCTGCAACGGGGGGCTTGTGAACGCGTTAAACCCATTTTTTGCAGCACTTCTGGCATTCATTTGTGCGAGATTTCGTCCGGCAGCAGTAGGAGGCGAACAGAAATTAACAAGAGCTACGTAGACCATAGCAAGTTTCGGGTTGTGTAGCCCCTATCATGCGATACGCCCGGTCAATACAATTCCTGAATCTGGGGCCTTTATCCCCAAGCCCCGTACCTTCAGCCCCAACCTCAAGCGCATGAACCTCTGAAAGTAGAGGCTGTCACTTGACAACCGATTTGCTCGCCGTATCCCCAGCACTGAAAAAGTTGCCAAGTAGTGAGTCGCCAGCGCTCCGCTTCACAGGAGCCTTGATTTGAATCTGGGGTGTAGGTGCCGTGTTTTTCCTTGGGGTTAAGTGTTTTTTGGACTTGGTTTTTGTTTGAAGCTGTAGAATATTGCTGATTGTGAAATGTATGGTTCAGGGCGCGCATTGCGGATTGGAAATTAGAGTTTCGGATTCAGGGCCGAGAACTGCAGTGTCGTCGTGTAAAGTGAAAATAGCAACCGTAGGGCAATAAGGGATTGAGCCAGAAAATGGGTTGTCCGGTTCAAGAAGCAGGGTCGGGTTTGTTTGCATGAGGGAATGTTAAAACTACACGCCGAAATCTCGGAATGTTCGCCTGAGTAAACTTAATGTTGTCTTCACAATAATAAGAATAGAATAATGCATTCCCTTTGTAATGCAGATCAAAGATGTTGATATCCAAAGTTTTTTGTTTTGATAAACTGATTCAGCAGGGTCATCTTGAACTCTATAGGATATGGGCTTTCGAAAAAAAGGGTGACATGTACCCAGACCCTGGGAGGATCTAACAATTGGATCATCTATGATATAGACCCATTATAACCCCTATATAATCCTTATGTAATTTCCCATATGGTTCTATGGGATCTAATTTTTAGACCCGTTTGGGGATCTGGGTAATGACATTGCGCTTATGCGGCCTTGCCGGTATCACCTGGTGGGTCATGGCGGCAATCATAGGGGTTTAGGGTTGAGGTATTAGGGTTTAGGGTTTAGGGTATTGGGGTTTAGGGTTTAGGGTTTAGGGTTTAGGTGCTTGGAAATTTGAAGACAAATAGCCCCCCGTGCCGTTGATAGATAGAGTAAACTGTTCTAGATCATGAAAAAAACATTTTTGGCAAAGTATGGGTCCAAAAGCATGTCTAATCCAGAAGAGAAACCCAAACATGTACATTTAAGCAATAGGCTTTTCAAACCTTGAGAAGTGTAAGGTCTGAAATTTAGATTTCATTTTAAGAATTCAGAAGCCGAAACTCCAATTGGAAGTCCTCAAATCCGGTAGGTGGCAGCTCCAAAAACGTGGAGGCATTCATTCTGAAACCTGATTTGCTTATTAAATCTCATCAGGGGCTGAAGACTCAAACATTGTTTCTTGAGCTTCCCCTTACGGACCGTGATGAAGGCGTTGTCATTTGCATAAATGGAAAAGCTTTTACGAAGTTTTTACGAGAGTGACAATTTGTTTCAACGTCGTTAGCCTTGCAGCCCGTAGTATCCGAACACATTAATATTAAGCTGCTATTTAAATCAGAAAGCGGCAGGTTTATTTTTAGTAAAACACTTGAAACATGAGAATATGATTTTTGATTTTCAATCCAGACTTGCTATTAGAAGTAATAAAGAATTAGAAGCTGAAACGTTGATTCCGAAACCACCCTTTCACACCTTGCGTATAAAAGAAATCGGTACATTAATGGCAAACTTTTTTCAATCATGGAAATAACAATGTGTTCGAGGGTTGTGAATTTATCAGCATTTTGCAGTTAAAATCAGTTTAGGATCAATCAGAACCCATTCAAAATTAGCGAAAACCCAATTATTGTAATTGAAACTTGCTTACAACCAATTAAACTGGAACAAAGAGCAAACAGTCTTCATTTAAACTCAGGTACACTCCAATTGAAATCAGTCCATTTCACGTATTCTAACTTTATCAAAACTGTTTAGATTCTTGTCAAAATTTTCAGGCTCCCACACCCATTCATGGTTTGGTTCTTGAAGCTTCTGCTTAATATACCACTTATATTCAGATGTCTTTTTCCATTTTGGATTTCGGAGCCCTAAAATATTAAAAGTTATGGGGCTTGGATTTTTTCTCCCACTACCAATCAGGAGCGCGGATGAAGTGGGGTTGTAAGTTGGGTAAATTTAAACCCATGATAGCCTGCGTATATGTCCCAGTACTGCCTGTCATAAAATGTTTCCTTTGAAGCAGGATATGTAGCACTCGTTAGTATCATCATTGGTTTCGTTTAAACGCTTATGGCAGCGTGCTGGCTTTATCAAGAGAAGATCAGCATCCCACTGGCCACACCGCTGAATCCCAAAACCCAAAGCTAGGTGCGAGAGTGAAGGTTGGTGGTGTTTGGGTCTGGCAATTTGGCAGCGAAGTAGGATTACACATGCTTTTTCCTCTTGGCATGAAAGCTTTCACAACGCCGCCTGCAAGCCCGAGAGGATGGCGATGACACCTGAGTACGATTACCTCTTCAAGCTACTTCTCATTGGCACCGGGCTCAGTGTGCGAGGGCGTGCAAAGTGCTTGTATCGAGAATGTGCAGGGAATGCGGAAGAATGGGTTTACCTATTGTCACCAGGGCTTTTTGAGCAAATTCAGCACAACACAATTCATGGATAGTTGTAAACAAGGCTACAAATCTTCCAAATTTCTTTACAACTACAATCAGAGAATTTGCCAACTTAAACTCCCAGTTATAACAACCCCTGCACCTCGAAGCAGGAATGTGCGTTGCCTTTTTTTGCATTCCGTGACTCAACGTGTAGATAAGCCGCCGCCGTCTCCCAAGAGAGATGCAACGTGTCGAGAAATGGGGGTTTCCCAAAATTGGGGGTACCTTTTTAATTGGGGGTCCCGATAATAAGGACTATAGTATTTTGGGGTCTATAGTGGGGTTCCCCTATTGTGGGAAACTACCAAATATTTGGTTAAGCCGTCGAATATTCGTACTTACCGCAAAATTTTTTCACGTTCTATACACAACAATACAACATCATCTTCTTTAGCAAAATGATTGCGATGACACCCAAAACCCATTTCAACATCAAGGGAACAGTGCTTCAACCGGGATTCTCGAATTTCCAATCTTAAGTAAGACCAGATTTCCCCTGGTGTACAACTTTCCAAGAAGCAGATTATCTGATTTGGTTTTGGAACTGCAAGAAACTGCTACTTGTCGAGGCCCTTACATCCAAAACCCTTTATGTCGCTACGTAGCCCTGCCGAATCCATACACAACCCCCTGAAGAGAAGCATGTGATGTCAGCACGAAACATTACCAAACTCAGGTGACTCTGGCGTTGGCAAGTCCTGCCTGCTGCTGCGTTTTGCAGATGACACCTACACGGAGAGCTACATCAGTGAGCCGGGTTTCGAGATTTGGGTTTAGGGATAAGGTGTTGGAGTTCAAGATGTAGAGATAAATGCCCAAGATTTTAGGTTTAGGGGGTGGGGCCTGCCGGCGGAAGGTTCAAGCTGGCTGTCTGACTCGCGGGTCTGACTGTCTAGGGCAGACGCCATTTTGCAGGTCGACCTCGGATTTCGTCATAGGAGGCATGTTCTGAAGACCTTTAAACGTCAGATTGGTGTATGTGGGCTTTCATAAGGTTTTGAAGGGTTTCATCGGAGCAATGAGCCTTCTATGATACGCTCATGCGAACGAGTAGGAGCTGGCTGACGTGATTAAAACCCGCCCACAACATGCGGCTAGGTACGATTGGTGTTGACTTCAAGATCCGCACCCTCGATTTGGAGGGGAAGACGGTGAAGTTGCAGATCTGGGATACAGCCGGACAGGACATGTCGTCATGAGCCTAGGGACCCTTACAACAGCAGCAGTAATTAGGACAACAACTGCATTAGCTGCTGCTGCCGCTGCTGTTGCTGTATTTGCTGCTGCTGCTGCTGCTGCTGCTGCTGCTGCTGCTTGTGCCTATCTAGCAAACCCTGTGGCTCCTTCGGAACAATTGTTACTCCGTTTTGGTAGGAGGACGCCGTGTCCTGTCACGCTTAGCTTTCATTTGTGCAGGAGCGTCGCTTAAATTCTTTGGCAGGAGCGATTCCGTACGATCACCAGCAGCTACTACAGAGGTGCTCATGGCATCATTGTGGTCTACGACGTCACGGACAAGGTTGGGCAGCTATTGCAGTTCGCATCATTCAGGGCTTCAAAACATTGCCAAACATAAGTTCCGACCCGTGGGCTGCAAACTTTTGAATGGCCTTGCCCCAGTTGCAGGATTTCTGTTCAGGTTTCATGCAGGGTGTAAGAGTCGGACCCTACACCTGAAACTCTAGCTTTGGGGTGTTAGGACTAGGATGTGCGGGGGCTCTTCCCATCAAAGGGCAAGAGAGATGCATGGGTTGGCAGTAGCCAGCCCTGAAAGCGTTTGCAACATTTCTCTAACGTTTTAAACTTTGTCTTGAAGCCGGACGCAGGACCCGTATTGCAGTTCAGACCCTGTTAAAACCGCATGAAGATTCTGATGACCTTTTTTGTTGTGTTCACTCCAAAATGCTCCCATCGTCTTCACGACATCACAGCCTGCCTCAGACCTGACGAGGAGTCCTTCAACAATGTGAAGCATTGGATGCAGGACGGGCCAGAGAATTTTAACTCCTCCGACGTGGACGTTTCCCGGCACGACCTCTCAAAGATCCTTTATAGGGACTTCCAGAATCCCCAGAATCTCTAGGGTTCTTATGGTAACACCCAAAGTCTACCTCATTAACATTAACCTCGACTCCACGGAAGCCCAAATGGGACCATAGGTTTCCATGTTGTCTGAGAGGGTAGAGCACCTGCAGATATGGAAACCTGCCTTCCCTGAAGCTACAAGCTTTGTGTCGAAGTGAGGGTGTTTGCACAGGCCCAAGCAGAGCATGCCTTTGAGAAGCTAACGAAAGCAAATCAGATTGTAACAAGTACCTTTTCATTGCCCTGGTGACACGGTGACACTAGCAACAATTCGCACACGATCTGCTTTTCTTTGGCAGTTGGTACTGATGCAACACCCAATTTCAAATTACTCTCATCCCCGAACTTCATCCATTAGTCCGATTGTCCCCAAGCATCGCAGGAGATTGACAAATATGCAGCTGACGGTGTCAACAAGCTGTTGGTCGGCAATAAGCTGCCTGGCTTGAGCCAAGCTTAGGATTTTGGGATTCAGGTTTTTGTTTAGGGATCAGGGTTTTGAGGTTTTGTTTTTTTGTCCTGGGGATTAGGGCATTCAGGCTGAAGATGGTGGAGATCTTGCACCAAGCAGGGTACCTAATCTGTGGACCCTAAACCCTAAACCCCTAAAACCCTAAAACCCTAAAACCCTAAAACCCTAAAACCAAAAAACACCCAAAGCCTAAAACCCTAAAACCCGAAACCTTGCACCCTAAAACCCTTAAAACAGGTGGTGCAAGATCTCCTCCATCAACTCTTCGGGGGTTCGGGGCCTATAGTTCGGGATTAGCATTTGTTTCTTGCTAAACGGTATGACGTGTGCTTGGAGCCTCATGGGCATTTAAAAGCCAGATTGCAGGTTCTCTGTTGTGCTGTAGATTTTTGGAGCTGGAGGTCGGTGCGCAAGTTTGAGTAATTTGGAGTTCTTTGGGGTTGCAGGATGCAGGGTTGCGAGGGCAAACCAACATGGGCCTGAAGGTTTTCTGAAGGTTTTCAGGTTTCAGACAAAAGAAATAGCATCGAGCAAATTTTGTAGCGAATAGGATTTTTTGATAATTGACCGCATGCAAAGCCCAGGCGAAGGAAAGCACCTCTTCGTCATACTGGGCCCTCAGATTGCAGTATCCAAAATGCCAGAGACCCAACAAACCCAAATCCTTTTATTACCTGAGTGTATATCCTTAGATACCCGCTAGATAAACCCAGGTTCCATTTCAGTTTCCCAAGTTCTGTTCCAGTTGATTAACAATTTTTTCAAACCCTATACACATCCCTACATAAATCCCTACGTTACGCATGTGTACCCCTAGATGAACCCCAGATACCCTTCAAAGTGTCCTCTTAAATCCCAACCCCACACCCTAAAACCCCTCCGACCTAGTCAGGTGCGATCTTTCGTCCAAAAAAGTGGTCTCATACGATGAGGCCAAAGAGTTGGCGGACTCGCTCGGGGTTGCCAGCTGCAACAGGTTTTTGGAAAATGATGCTTACATGTGTAGGGTTTACGGTTTAGGGCTTGGGGCAGAGTAATGCTAGTCATTATATGAGATTTCCCAAAATTGGGCGGACCATTTTGGGGGTTCCCATAATAAGGATTTTAGTGTATTGGGGTCTATATTGGGGTCCTTGTTTTTGGAAACTATTATACAATATATGTTATACATTACATACTATTTTTGGTATAGGCTATATAAGGGTGTGGTTTCTAAGATTGGGGTATATACCCATTTCAACGGGGTTTCTGAGCATGAGGTACTTGCCAGTCTGCGCCCCATTACTTCTGTAGTTATAGGTTTTGCAAAAGCTTAAGTGCTCACCAATCTCATCCCAGATGATTTTGTACGGCAGTACAGTGAAAGAATGTACTCCCAGACCCTATTCCTATGGTTTAGGCTCCCGCAGTACTTAAGGACGAGGATGATAGTGTAATCTGTACATATATTTATATATAGTACTTAGGAGGACCCCCCACCCTGTAATAGTGGTATACTGGGAATATAAGAGGACCTAATGTAATTCCTATTATCCCCTATAGTCACTATTACCAGGTGGGCGGTGCACCTAATATAGTAACTACATTGGGTTGCGAGTCCACAGCGGTGAGTATATGTATAGCTCTACATGCAGGCCCTCATTGCTTGGAACACCAGGACTATTTATAGGGGTTATATAATGAGGATATAACGGTTATATATAGTAATGGGATGAAGGGTCCCTATTAGGGGTCCCTCCTAAAGTCCCTAGATCTACTCTTCCCTACGCTTTATGATGGTTGTGCTATTCACATTCCGTGTTGTGGTTGTCACCTCGCTTCTTGACCCCAAATCCCTAGGCAATCCTGCGAGAATTATATAATCCCTATATAACCCTATATAACCCTATATGACCCTTAGTAGTTTCCATTTTCTTTTTCATTATCCGTATATAATCATTTTTCCAATCTCATCAAGTATTGGGGCAATGAGAGGAGTCTGTTCACCTGTTCGCAAGTTCTGGTGCGAGCCAGAGGAGGTCCCACAGAAAGACTGGTCGCGAAGCTGGGTGCTGACAACCCTCTCCCCCGCATAGTCTCCAAAATACTTCGTAGTTTCTTGCTCAGCCCCTTACAATCCCTCAAAGCGCTATTTGTAGAGGAAGCGTGTCACTAATCAGATTTCAGCCCTTCCCAATCTTGCTGATCAAGGTTCCAATGCTATGTGTGAGCTTGATGAATTCCTGGCTAAAAGCGTTTTGGCACCCGCGAAAGTCTGCAAATGCGAGTGTTACTGCCCTGTTGGAGTTGCCGTGTGTCTGGGGTCTCCTCATGCCGGACTTGTCACGGTTCGAAGTGTTTTCCGCCACAGGGATCATGTTCGTCAATGTATTCGCTTTTGAACATGTCGTGTCTCATGGTGTGCTTTCGTGTCTTACCTCGTGTCTTGGGCAAAGTTTTGTATCAGGTCATCTTCCTCACATAGTACTCACAGCAGCTCATGAAGACTTAGGTTCAGTTCATGGAGACCAGCGCCAAGAATGCGCACAATGTTGAGCAGGCACGGACAAATGGTCTGTCGGGAGCTCCAGTTTTTTTTTCGTGCCAGCAGCTGGGCTCCCCAAAAATCGAGAGTTAAACAAGACCTTTCGTTCCTCTTCTATTTGATGTTCAGCTGTCTGCAACATGTGAAGACCTTGGCCCGCAAGTTCAGAGCAGTGCTGAAGTCAAGGGTCTTGGACATCCAATATCTTGTTCTTCTCCGCACAGGTCTCTGTCACACATCAAAGCCAGCAGGAGCTCTGGGTTCTGGAGGTTAGTAGACTTCCGAACGAAGAAGAACGCAGGCCCTAATGTGATGCAATGCCCAGCCATTGTTGTATGTGCAAAGGACATGGAGGCGCTTCCCATTAGCTTTGCAACCATTACTACTATTGTGATTATTATCACTAATCTGATTGTTACTATTACTGCTACTATGGCCACTGCTATTATTTTTGTTACGACCTTTTTCTATTATCTTTTCATATCATAGAGCTACTATTGCCATTTAAATTACTGTTGCTACTGTTGTTGTTGTTGTTGCTACTATCATTACTATCATTATTATTGTCTATTTCCATCATTAATCTGACTACTATCATTACTAGTATTTGTATTTTTGTCATTTCTAGTATTCCTCCTTTTAGTATGACCAGTATCAGTATTTTTGTTATTCATATCTGTATTTATCACTAGATCACAACGTCCTGAAAGGGGGGCCAAGAGGGGTCGGTGCTGGGGAACACTGTGGGGATGCTCTTCAAGGACCTGGTAAACCGGTCTTATACCCTTATAAGTGGATATACTGCTAGGTTTTTGGAATGGAAGCACACCGCGAATCGAGGACAGTACCGTCTGTTTTGCGCCTAAAGTTCAGATTTTTCAGGGGTGTGTGGGGGTTATATATATATATATTTCTATATAGAGGGGTTATACAGGGATTACAGGGTACATATTGGGGTTATAGAGGGATATTCACAGGAACTCCACTTAGCTGGCCCGTCTACACTAGCTTCGAGCCCAACTCCAACACCTGGGGCTTTCAACAGATACCCTAAGCCCTAAACCCTAAACCCTAAGCCTCTTTGGGCCTTCGCGAGTTTTTTTGGGGCTCCCTGTAAAGTTAGCGTCTTTCATATTGGGCCCCCTCATGCATGGAAGGCCACAGATGGAAAAGCCAAAGCTGTAAACCTTGAGCCCTGCACCCAAAGCCGAAACTCAAATCCCTCGAAGCAGGCCTAAACCTTGAGCGTTCCAAATCGGGCTTAGGGCTTCGGGTTTAGGATTTAGGGTTTAGGATTAGGATTTAGGATTTAAGGTATAGGATTTTGATCTGGGTAGGTATCAAGAGTATTGGCCCTGCTTATGTAGCACTTGCATGGCCCGACTTAACCCTACTGCCTGAAGCCCACTCACCAGAGTCGGCACAAAAGAAGGCCTACTTCCTGAATCCTCAACCATAACCCCTTGACCCGAAATGTTAATAAACCAATCCACCAAACCCTAGACCTTAAACCCTAAATCCTAAACCCTAAATCCTAAACCCTGAATGGGGAGGCCTTTCAAATCATGGCCGGTGAGATCAAGCCCTGTGCTCGGTATCGGGGTTCAGGGTTTCGGGTTCCAGGGCTTGGGTTGTAATGTAGACCCCTGATTAATCAACCCCCTCCCCTTAGTAAGGATTATAGTAGGGATCCGAATATTTAGGCCCTTCAAAGGAGGGGGTTTATTAATCAGGGATTTACACTAGGGTTTCGAGTTTAGGAGTTGAGTGGAGGCCCGAGCCTGAGGGTTTAGGGTTCGGGGTTTAATGTACAGGGCAGCTTCTACTGCACTGCTTGCAGCAGGGGTCATTATATGAATTTCTCCATTTTAGGAACAGTACCTTACGCCAAGCCCATGTGTGCAGTTTACGGTTCTAGGGTCTAGGGTTTAGGATTTGGGGCGTCATGTAGGGATTACTGAGGGCATCCATTCCTCCATTCCCTCCTAACCACCCGGTAAGTTTTTGAGTTTTATTTCAGTTTAGAGGACTTACAGCACACTTGTAACTTGTGGCTCTGCAGGAACCTTTAGGCAGGTTTGAGGGTTCAGGCTTTCTTTGTTCAAGATGTAGGCTTGGAGCACCTTTTTGGTTCAGGTTTGGATCGCGGATTTGGTGTGCTTTGGGGAGTAGGATGGGTTTGCTCTTCTTGTAGTGTGTGTGGGGCCAGAGACCGTTTCTGCTTCTGTTCGAAATGTTCCCTTGGCTCTGCGTGCCATGATGTGTGCTTTCCAGTAGCAATCTTCTACTTGCTTGGTTGTTTTGTTTTTTTGCATACCCTATGTTATGCTTGGGATTGCTGAGTAGTAGTACGTTTGGCATTTTCTGGTTGGACGGCTTTTCGCTAGTCTTGGCCTTCATGGCTTTGGGTCTTAGATGGCGGATTTTTATTGAAGTGGC